ATCTGTTCGTGTATACATGATAGGAGGGCAAGGTCATCTGCGAAGTCCAAATCGTCTAATTGGTTCTGAGCTGTCCATTGTATTTCGTGTTTTCCTTCAGATTTCGAGGTCTTCATAATCCAGTCGACCACCAGAAGAAAGAGGAAGGGAGAGAGTAAACAGCCTTGACTTACTCTAGTCCTTACTTGGAATGCATCTGTCAGCTGTCCTCCATGCACGACTTTGCACTGTAGTCCGTCGTATGAGTTCCGGATAATGTTGAAAATCTTCTCAGGAACTCCGTAGTGTCGAAGAAGTTTCCATAATGTCCTCCTATCTACACTGTCGAATGCTTTTTCATAATCAATGAAGTTGATGTATAGTGATGAGTTCCACTCAACTGATTGTTCGACGATGATCCGTAGTGTTGCAATTTGGTCTGTGCATGATCGATCCTTACGGAATCCAGCTTGTTGATCTCGAAGTTGGGCGTCTACTGCATCTTTCATCCGGTTCAGCAACACTCTGTTGAAGACCTTCCCTGGTATTGACAGCAGTGTAATGCCTCTATAGTTTTCACATTTGCTCAGATCTCCTTTCTTTGGAATCTTGACGAGGTGCCATTCTTTCCAGTCCATCGGCACTTGTTCTTCTTCCCAAATCTTTTTGAATAGAAGGTGAAGCATGTTTGTCGTTGCTTCGATGTCTGACTTCAGTGCTTCAGCTGGTATGTTGTCCGGACCCGCTGCTTTCCCGTTCTTGATTTGTCTGACGGCCATTCTAAGTTCTTCCGTCGTTGGTGGGTTGACATCTATGGGAAGATCTGTGTGTGCCGCTTCGATGTCCGGTGGACTCGTCGGAGCCGGCCTATTCAGGAGTTCCTCGAAGTATTCTACCCATCTGTTCCGCTGTTGTTGAATTTCAGTGATTTGATAACCTTCTTTGTCTTTGACCGGTCTCTCTGGTTTACTGTATTTCCTTGCTAGTTTCTTCGTTGTATCGTAAAGCTGTTTCATATTTCCTTCTCTAGCAGCTTTTTCCGCCATCGTTGCTAGTTCTTCCACGTATTTCTTCTTGTTGGCTCTAATGCTCCTTTTCACTTGCTTGTTTGCTTCTGTGTATTCAGCTTGTGCTTGGACTTTCTCTGCTCGTGTTCGGCTGTTGTTAATTGCTGCCTTCTTGTTCTTCCTTTCTTTGATCTTGTCCAGTGTTTCTATAGAGATCCATTCCTTATGATGGTGCTTCTCTAGAACCAGAACCTCTTGACACGTTGAAGTTAATGCTTCTTTGATGCCTTTCCAGTTGTCCTCCATAGTAGTTTCTTCTTCCTTCAGTAGATCTCGTAAGGCTTGGAACCTGTTGTTGAGAGCCATCTTGAATTCATTGAATCTTTCAGTATCTCGAAGGAAGGCTGTATTGAACCTTTGTTTTGCTGTTTTTCCACTAGTCCAGTTCTTTCTTAGCTTCAGTTTTAAATTAGCTGCAACTAGGTGGTGATCTGAAGCTACGTCAGCACCTCTCCTGGTTCTCACATCTTCCATTGTCCTTCTGAATTTTTTGTTGATGCAAATATTATCTATTTGGTTCTCTGTAGTGTGGTCCGGTGAGATCCATGTAGCCTTGTGTATACGCTTGTGTGGAAATATTGTGCCCCCTATGACTAATTTGTTGAATGCACATAGATTTGCAAATCTTTCTCCATTTTCGTTTCGCTGTCCCAGTCCATGTCGTCGAATAATATCTTCATATCCGGTGTTGTCTATTCGGACTTTGGCATTTAGATCTCCCAATAGAATGGTGAGGTCATTTCTTGATCATTTCTCTATGACTAACTGTAGTCGCTCGTAGAACTGATCTTTAGTGTCGTCGTTGCTGTCATTGGTGGGTGCATAACGTTTGATAATATTCATTGTGATACCCTCCTTCTTTGTTTTGAACGATGCTTTGATGATTCTGGATCCATGAGATTCCAATCCCACAAGTGGATTTCGTGCTAATGTAGACAGCATTAGATCGACTCCCTGAGTGTGCGGAGCATTTTTCTTTTCGTGACCGGAGTATAGCAGCATCTCTCCCGTAGCTAGCCTTTTCTGTCCAGCTTGGGTCCAAAGGGGTTTCGCTGATTCCCAGTATTTCCGAATTGTATCTCCACAATTTCGTTGCTATTTGGCTGATCTTCCCGGTCTTCCACATTGTTCGAACGTTCCATGTACCTACAAAATTTTTTGCTTTGGTTGTTAGAAAGGGCATCGGCCTCGTGGCTTCCGAAGGAACTCAGCGTCATAATTCTTCTAAATGAAGACCTTCTAACTCCCAGGGCAGAATTAAAATGTTTTGAATTATTTTTTCTGGTAGGCGTTTTTTTAGCGAGTTAGTTTTCTACGGGATGGGGTTGCTACCCCCATGCCCAACCCTTCTCCTTTACCTGGGCTTGGGACCGGCAGTAACTCTAGAGGAGCTACAGGCATTGATATAATTCACTCGTAAGACCTGTGTACTCGAAATCCCACTAAGTGTTTAGTCTAGTCTTACTTAGAATCTCTGGCAGAGTATCCTTAAATTTAAAATGGTAAACTAACAAAGGACTACCAAATAAGCAGGCGCTATTTGCGGAGCTAGCATTCTTGTTTTGAACCGCCGTTTATTTTCAGTCACTCGGGACAAACAGATCGGGACATTATGGAACGGTGATAGTTTTATTCGGGTCTTGATGCAATACTTTGTGATCACAACAACCTACATCTAGTATTACGTGCGCGAATAGACGAAAGGAAGAGTGCCATGAAATCGATTAGAAAAAACTCCAAACTTTGGTTGAATTAACTCTAGTTAAAGCAAAATGAGTATGTTGTCGGCGTAAAAACTTCACAAAAGTAATTGATCCAAAACGAGCATGAACATCAGTGAGCTTGTTTGTCTTATATTATACTCTATAGATAAGGTATGGTGAGGCATTTATACTTTGCTCTTGTTGAAGCACTTTAATTTACCGGCCTCTCATCTCACTAGCAGAGGCGTAAAGAGGAAAATGCGAATGATGTGGTTTGCAAGATATTATGCAATGATTACTAATAATGCCAAAAGCATGTAACCTCTCAACAAAATAAGTCAAACGAGAAGTACCTTCGATACTAATAAAACATGAGCAGTCCAACAGAGACATGTGGATAGAGTATATCAAGATAAATAAGCACTGCTTTTACAGTAGATTCTCCAATATTATAGGCTTTGAGGGATCAAAGAAGGGTGTTTGTGATATTCATGTCTTGGTCCAAAAATGACAGTTTGACACTTGGAAGGATTATGTGAGACCATAAACAATAAGCAATGGTTAAAAGAACAACATGCACACATTCGTTTCGATGGGAATGTGAAGAGACGGAAATTGATGTACATACAGTGAGATCATCTTCTTATGTAACGAAAGTGTTTTTTGTAATAATACAGGAAAAATGAGGAAAGGTGAAATAACAAATGCTTTTCGCACACCATGAGTTATTTAAACCGTAGAACTTTCCTAAGTACAACACACTGTTCACTTCCAGAAAGATAAGAAAATGGTCAGTTGTTTATCCATCTAATGGTATTGATGCCATCAAAATTATTTATTAGTACTTGAAACACGTTCAAAGATAGAAGTGGTATTGCAACGCACATCAGACATACTCCCTAGTTCCCTAAATTGAACAGTATATTACGATACAGAGTGACAACAATAGCCGAAGTATTTCTTTTGTACATGTAAGCCAAGTGACACTGAAAAATTCTCTCTTCAACTTTAGCAGTAAATCTTTAACATTGAAGCTGGCCTAGTAGAAGGTGCTCGCTTAATATTCGCATCAGATCGACGGTGAATGAACCAAATTACGCAACTCAAGCGACTACTAGCCAGTTTAGATTAAACGCTTCCCAACACATCAAAAACCTTCCTAATATATCTTCGAACACACACTTCTGACTTCACTGGTTAGGTATCCTTAGTTTATAAAGGTGTCAGGACCTGAATACCTGTAGTAACTTTAAATAAAGTCTTGAGTGGGAGTAGCAACGTCTCTCTATTGTTTTAGGGAAGGTTAAGTTATCACTATGGGCACAAATTTCCCGTCCTTATAGTCAGAATCTTTTATCGTCATCGAGATTACCTTTATCTCTCTTCACATTTTCGATATGAGATATGTTGAGGATAAGCATACTCGTGAACGAAAGACACAGAACATTTCTCAGACGAAGGTTCAGGACTTCGGGAGGTATTAGACTTGAGTATATCGGAAGCAAGGTGTGAGATGATTGACGCATGAAAAACTAAGATAAGGTCACCTCAAAAACATTCAGCTGGCAACCATCACCAGTGAGTCTTCTACTCGTGAGTACTTCAAAAAGAGGAGAATAGTTGATCCAGACAGTCTGCCATTATACTCGAACTTTAAAGTATCCTGAAAGACAAACCTGGCAACACTGTCCGACCCTAGATCAGCCTTCTGTCACTCGCATACCAAGTGGATGTTGTAAGTCACATTTCAGTCACACATCTTCAACCGAAGCTTTCCACGACTATTGTCGGTGGTGTTCGTATCGTTCTCTCGAATTTGCTTTCTTACTCACGAAACCCTCTACCAATGGTGACTGTGACAACCTTAGTGCAGTCTCGCCACAACTTTTGAGTGACCAGAGCAACTCAGTTTAATCTACCCAGATCGGCAATAAATTGTTCTAGTTTAAAGCACTATCATGAAGTATAAAGCTCAACCCTTTTACGGCTTTTGATGGGATTCATATTTTGCAACAAACTTTTTTCTCTTTAGTAATACTTCCACACGACAGAAAATGTTTAGTGGATGATTTTCACATGTCATAAACTAGCACTTCGGTAGATGTAAGCATGCATAAAGAATAAGACTGTAGAAATTCAGGGTAGATAAAGTGCATACAATAAATAAACGCCCACAAAGACAATATGATATAACACTTAAAGGGTTCTTATTATATGAGTGAAACTCAATCCTATTAAATTAACCCGAATGCGTTATTTAAAAAATGAATTTAAAGAGTTTACACAAAAAATTTCATTCTTCATCTAACTCTAAAATTGGTGATGCAGTTAAATGAACAGCTGAAAAGTTACTATTCGTTATACCATCAGCACCGATAGTTTCAGGGTGTTTGGGAACAGTTTCAGAAGTTTCATCATCACATTTTGAAATAGCTTTGGAACTTGGTGACTGTGAATGGTTGGATTCAGAATGTAAAATAGGTAATTTCTCATGATCAGAATCGGAACGAGAATGTACAGGGATACTAGTTTTTGATTCATGAAAAGTGAAGGAATCGTGAAGTATACTTGTACAAATAGATTCGGTTGAATTAAAAGTGTTTTGTTCCGAAACCGAACAACCTGTCGGAGGAAGAGAAAAAGTATAACTGTCAGAGTATGAAGAGTTAATAATTAAAATGCTGGGTAGGAAGTTGTCGAAACATTTTTGACCACTAAGATAGCCATATGGTCGAATAAACTTACTGGAATTCCTGCTGCAGTGGTCAACTTCAATCGAAGAAGACAATGAACCATTTGAAGATATGTATGTACCAAGTGTAGGAGCATTAATATCAACACTCATTTTAGAAGGCGCACTTTTGACATTTTCCGATTGTTTTGAATTCCCACCACTTGCACGATGACGGCGAGCACCACGTTTGCGGAGATTTTTCCTGTGAAACGAATTATCGATAAATAAATTATCATCCTTCACAACGAATGATCTTTTAAAGTACGAACACATTATAAATGTTAGAAGTTCCCATCGTGAAAACCATCAAAACATATATAAGTGAACATCATTGCTTTCAATCAGACTGTCATATCGGGCTTTACTTTAAAACACAATATCTACCTCCATATATGAAAACTACCAAAACCAATCAAATCAGTTTATGGGTCAATGATAACAACCAAATAGATTACATGACTAATTACAGAAAGCAGAAAGTACGAACTGACAGTAAGATGACAGACATACTGGAAGTGACAGAAATAGCAAAACTTTCAACCAAGGATTGAATATAAGTGCGTCAGAAAATGAGAGAATAGGCATTAGAGAAACGATCACTGAAATCATGTTAAGTGTGCGGAAGATCTGATAGTGGAGAATACACATAAAAGGAGGTGAAGGAAAACGAACAAAGAATGAGGAAAATCAGTAAAACCGTTTGTCTAGTCTTATCCGACCGAGGAAAAGACGAGAATTAGTAACCTACGGAGACCTTCTACTCTTATCGGCCATGTTTCACTGCCATGAAGTAGGACGAACGAAATGCTGCGCAGTAGACCTGTACTTTGGTTGGTAAACGGATATCTCGCCTACACCACAAGTGATGCGAGTTGGCAAAAACTAGTCGAGCCTCCTGTATCCGTGCTAGGATTTTGTCACATACCAGACAACAAAGGCTGATAAAACTTCCAAGATAAGTGAAGCGGTCGACACGCTAAACTACTTCACTCCCTACCATTGCAACTCAATCCTGAAGTAAAATTTTGCATTTTGAGGGGAAGAATCGCATCCCGAAACATGCTTGCATTGTTGCTTAGAATGGTCAGAAGACTCTGCATTTTGTCAGCGCCTTCACCAAATAAAACTATGTCATCGGCATATTCTATGTCCTGGAAGAAGTTCGACCCCTGGAAATTTAGATGAGGAAAGTGTCATCTCTAAAAGCACGTCAAAGACAAAGTTAAACAATGGAGAGCCCTGACGAACACCACTTGATGTAATCAATTCTGACGATAGTTCGCCACAAGCTTTCACTGGAAAAGTTTTGTTTGAGTAGAAGCAGCATCGGGAATTACGAACACACGAGGCATGAATCGACATGGTTCTTTATTTTGATATGGTGAGGTCAGATGAATGACGCTACTCGGATCCAGTATGAGGGTTTCGGAGACGCAACACACATCAATGACGCAAGATTTTAAAGTCCTAGTTGAGGAAACCTATCGTCTAATTTGGCACAGTGTTCGGACGTTAAAAGCTCCTACATGAGATTTAAGGAGACCCGGAATAACGTTCCACGTACTCGAATTGTTTGCAATAGCGGCGCGAGGTGATAAAGGAACGTGTGAAGGGCTAGTCATGGAGATTAGAGAGTTATTAAGATGCGTAGGAAGACTTTGATTGTGACCAACTTGGTCTCGTGTGTTGTTACGGGTATGAGGGCTGATGTCGATTCCTGGTTGCCCACATCCTGGAACGGTATTTTCTGAGGAACCTGAAAATGAAGTCAGATTAGTGTTGGTCTTAATGACCTGGGAGCGTGACCACAGAGTCCAAGGGAAAACTGCTTGAGGCCTGACGCACATGGGCTTTTTGTGGGAAGTATTTAACCTGTTAGCTCCGTTCTTCAAAGGGCCTTACCGCCGGAGGCGGAAATTCGTGAGGTGAGGTGTGACATTTTTAGGGTCGAAATTTTCTAACCCCTTTCTTCCTTGTGAGAAGGCAGCATCGCTGCAGATGTTGGTTATCCAAGGGAAAGATCTCACTGCTGTCACACCCCTCTACAGTTAGCAGTACGACTTCACCATCAGACCTTGAGTTGTTGTTTTTAGTCTTACCGTTCTCCGATCGACTTGCCTAGCGTGGTAGAACCTACAAGAACATGTGTTCCAGCCAACATAGCTCGGTTGAGTTATCACGATAAGCAAGCCCGACAACCGCGTCAAGGTAGCAGCTACGGTTGGGTTAATGAGGCAAAGCTATACGATACACATTATCGCTCAGAATTTTAGCAAAGAAAACAAAAAACACTAGAAAATAAGAATGAATGCATGGACAGTTAGCAAAAAGTGTATGTCGGATCAGATAAATTGGATTATAAACAAGTGAACCGAATTCAAGTATAAATACCCTTTTTTCATAAGTTTTATTAAACATTTTTATTCAACCACTCTTGTAGTAAATAAATTAGTGCTACAATTTCTGTTACATTTCAGGATAGTATCCTAACAACATTAAACAATACCTGATAGCCTGACGTCTGTTTCCATTAAGAAACGTCTAAACAACGACAAAAAGAGTGACAAGTCTCACGAAATTTCATGTCAATTTCAACCAAGAATCATATACTAACTACGATTCCAAAATGAAGTAGGCGTAAGAGGAACTTAGAACCGCCTTTTTAAGTATTTTATCAAACATCATGAGGGTTTCGGAGAACTGTATAGTATTGCTCCATGTTTTACTTGCTTAACAGTTAGTTTAAAGTAGCCTAGTCTTACTAGTCGTACTGTTAGATGCGAAAAACATTTTGACTATCACCGAGTCCAAATGTTAAGTCTACCTTTGTTGTTTACTATCGATAACGTCTTCTAGTAGAAATTTTTTTAGTTTCTAAGTGTGTTCCGTAATGACTATTAGCGAAATCTGAAAACTCGCACCATATTGAACAAGAAAATAACTGGAGTCATAAAGCTAATGGTTGAGATCAGAATGACTGAACCTCTGAAATAACCCCCCACAAACGTATTAATTTGATTCAAGTGGTTGTAACAAGCAGATGGTCACAATTATTGTTTGACGTTTACTGAAATTACCCTGGCACTCAGCAAGAAACAAATAAAGTAAGTTCAAAACTTCGACTCAATGATTCATCGTAGTCTCTAAACTCCTAGCCTGTCTCCAAGCACAACAGTAATCAGTTTACTAATAAACCTTAGTTACAACCAAACAACGAATAATAATTAAAATTCACGACAAAATTATACTTACCGCAAATTGCACAATGTATGATGCAGTGTTTCTACTGTATCCCTAGGTGAGAAATCTACATGTTGATCACGTTGGCAGAAACTCACTGATCTTACTCGTTGTCTACATATAGGCAAATGAGGATAACATTGACTCAATGTCCCTGATAATTTATCACTAGATATACATCGTCGAAAATCAGATTTTGATAGTACTGAATCGTGATTTTCATCACTACTTGCGGTAGGAAATTCATCCGATGTTAAAGGATGCTCTCTATTACTAGCTAGACCAGCATCACGTAAAATATTACCTTCTAAAATAGTCATTTCATCTCCGCTAGATTCTAAACAGTAAATAAATGAAGATATAAAACACGTAAAAACAAAAATGAAGGTGATATAAATCATATTTCAAAAGCAATAAAATAATTTTATTGTTATTAAAAGTAGCAAAACTGTACTTTTAAGCAACAAGTATACGGTTTTAACGACAGTGAATAAGTATCATACTACTAATATAATTTATCACAGGTCTCTAAATCAGTGCTCACACCTTTAAACTTATAAATACTAAACGATATCTAATTGACTTAAATGTTATAAACCAATAATCTTATTGTGATAAATAACAATCAAACCTCTTGAAGCTGCTATAGTACTATTTAAAAAGTGTAACGAGTGCCAACTTCCAATATATGTTGTAAGATCTAGCGAACATACCTTAGATACAAAATGGTGCTAGTTTCAATTTAAAAAAGCACTAAGTATTGTGAGCTTAATATAGGCACAGAATATACGATGATAATAGTGTTGAATCGATTGTTTTATCCGTCTTCAAATTTTAAAAGTTATAGTATTTTATTAAGTTTATTTTCTGAAGTAACACCGTTTTTTGACTTTTTATTTTACGTTATTTTCATGCATTTGTTGTTAACTTTGCCAATTTGTGTGCTATAATGTGATACTTTAGACTTAGATATGGTTTTTTAGAATCATTTTTAATGTTAAATCTGTGGGTGTACGGAGCACCCAAATGAGATGGGTGTACAATTTTCACTATAAATCGAGTGATTTATGTGAACCATATCTACTTGGTGCCTCCTTGTACCAATGTTTATGTGTTTAAATAAATAAATAAATAGTATGGATATTATTACGCAATATTGGAAAACCACGAAATTGTTTCCTAACGGTTACTTTAAATAATTATTTTATTTTATGAACATTCAGTGGAAATGATCGTATAGATTTTGGTAGTCAATATTCAACAACACCATGACTGCATTACGAATTAGGAAGTGTCAAATGTTGAATCTTGACTAAATAATCTGAAAATAACATGCTTACTATGAAATATGAGAGTCTTTAGTTTGATCTAATGTGGCTTTATGGGTGTACAATGTGAAAACGATGACACAAATGCTCAGTACTCGTTAGTTTCCAATGATCATTCGGTTGATGTAAGTTCATGATGAAAATGATAACTAAATTGAATAAAACTCTGAATATAATTCAAACAAAGGAATCCATAAGTTTAACATTAAGACAAGCCATTTTAAATCCGTTAAAATTCGATCAAATATTCATGACTATCAATAAACATACAGTTGGAATTCATAAGATAAGCTGCAAATGATAAATACATCAAACAATAATACCACAATAAGAGTATAAACTTATGTTATTTACCTGATATTGAACGTTGTTTCAAAATACTCTTTAATACTGGTCCAGTTTGACCTGGATTACTAGGAGTTGAATTACACCTGAGACGTCTGACAATGTAATTATCATTATTATTCTCGTTAGTTACATGTTGATTTATTAAATTTGACTGCTGATCAGATATAAAACAAGAGTCATTCATTTTCATGAGGTTACAGTTTAAGTCGGTTTTCGAATCTATAAATTCAACAGTAGGATCCCATTCTATGGAACAACATTTATCTGACAATGAGGTGACGTTTACAGACTTTAAACTTTGTTGATTCGATGTACAACTTTTATGAAGCAACCGATTATTGATTGATGGTTCAGAGAATAAACTATTATTGATTGAAGATAATTTATTGGTCAGTTGAGTAGAGGAGAAAACACCATCATGATAACAGTTATCAGAAGTTTCATTAACATCGGTAGGTAGAAAATTATTTTGTCTATAATGTGGTGTGAACGATTCCATTCCAATGAATGAACACTCCTAATTATGTAGGAAAACACAGAATACCAACGATAATAATGAAGTTTAAATACAGATTACTGTAAATTATAAAGTGAAATCCATTCAAGTCTCAACTTAATGAGTTTTAAACAATTAAAATTTCAATCTATCAAAATCAAATCCTCGGTGCATTTCAAGTTAATAATAAGAGTGATAGGTACCAAGTAGTTCAATTTTGATACAGTTAAGTGAAATAAAGAATGTTGAAGAACTCTTTTATGCCTTTAGAACCGATGATACATTTGTATAGGGTGTAATAAATGTAAAATACTTGCTGTAAACATACTTAAGAAATCGATGAGAAATGACAGTTAACTTCCAAGTCAAGCAATACAGTTAGTATGGGATTGAAGATGTTCCCATCCTACTTTCTTCGTATATGGTTGATCAAAATTAATTTTACATGATTTCGACTCATAAGATCATTTCAAGTTAGCATTCTAAACGAAATCACGATCATTACCCGAACAATTAACTATGTATAATATAACTATGTATATACATCAACGTGTTATTAAGTACAATTTATACCAAAGTATTTTTCTAAAATAAACATTTATTTTTAATAAACTGATATATGTTAATGAGTAGAGAAAATGTATTTCTGTTGTTTCGTGACTTAATGTAAGCCACTTAATGTAGGCCTCCAAATGCCCTGGTACGGCCGAGAGTGAGGAGAGTCAGCTTTCTCTCTCGAAATGCTTTGACATGACCACGCGTGTATAGCCTCTGCCAGGGAAGTCTTACTCACTGCCTTCTCGTGGCGGGGATAGTGTTTATAAAATTGAAAGGACGAAAAGCGAATGTCCGGCGATTTAACCGGGTTAGTGGACAAGGAAAGTTCACCTAGGTGAGTTGGAAAACTGTTATACCTCGATAAGAATAATGGGTGGTAATTTTTGAAATCCATTTTCGGACTAATACTATACGTATATCTTTACCGTATAATTGTTAATTACCTAAGCTATTCATATTCATATCTCTCTTATCATAAGCTTTATTTTAACCTATAAACTGTTATTATACGATTTTCCATTCTTGAATTATTCCCTGTCTATTAGTCACTGCCTCCCTCATTCACAGCCACATCTTTCTAATTCTTGTACAAATGTTGTTTCATATTTTATTGGTACGTTGTGGTCTGTTTGATTGGTATATAAACTCAGTATGTTTGAAATATAATGACTCATATCACAGAGGCTGAGATTGGTGTTCTAAACTTAACAGGCTGGACTAGGCGGAAAGCAGGATCAATCAGGACTCTAGGCTGCTCATATGGGTTTACGCGTCCTTGGTCCGACCGATAATTCACTGCCCTCTAATCGGCGGCCACAAGTTATAACAAAAACCCTGATTCCAAACAAATAGCGCACATGCGCTTCAGTATCTTGAGGGAACAAATGACGTATGAACCAATCGTTGGTCACCGGCTCCCGTGGGACTGCATCTCCTGACGTTATTCCACTGTCTTGTGGATCAGACCTTTAGATCGAAGGCTCCGGGTGTGGCCTCCTAAGAAAACAATCTGCTTCTGTTTGGACACCCGGGCAGTATCACAGCTCTCATTAAAACCTAATGAGCTTTGTTTGGCGCATATGTATCTGGTGCTCTCTTGTACCAATATCTATGTGTTCAAATAAATAATAATAAAACATCTTCAAAGTAAATTAATGACAAAAATATACTTATGATAAACTTTCTACTAAATGTTCAGTCTATTTGAAACCACCAAGCCCAACCTTGGCATTGATATCTACAAACTGAGATAGGGTTTGTTACAGCCAGATGAGTACGGGAAAAAGCCGAACTTTGAGAACTATTCTTAGGATTTTAAGCAAAGTTGAAGAGTGGCTAGCAGTGGAATTCAAGACGGGTGTTTCACTGATGAGTCCCAAATAGGACAAAACGCGCGTCCTGGATTCCACTGCTAGCCACTATCCATCGTTGCTTAGAATGCTTGTGAATTAAGGCAATAAAGAGGCGATACGCACAGAATGCACATATGCCAATAAGATACTGATCAATTGCAGTCCTAAACATCAATGAGAAGATTCAAGTAAACAATACTAAGTGAATTTATTTTAGGATTATTATATTTTTATTGTACAACTAATAGACACCTATATTGCTCTATTTCTATGTTCTCCTTATTGTAAGCTTTTAGTGAACCTATTAACTATCGTTATACATTTTACCATTAATTAATTATTGTTAATTAAATGTGTACTGTTTGTTTTGCTCTCTACCACTTACAGTATGGTTGTGTTCACAGTATGACTAATTATCTAGTGCGAAACGTGGTTCAATGGTTTCTGTATATAAACCAATGAGTGTTTGGGATCGAAGAAATTCTAATCAAAATTCTGATTGGTGACCTTGACACGTGATATTAATTAGCATCTTCAGTCATAACGAGGTTATTGTCAAAAACAGCAGCTTAACTCACTTCCATACCAGCTGTTAAAGTGCGCCCAGTTGCAACTGATGTCCACCAAACAGTACGACTTGATAACATTTCACTAAATAACTTCTTATTCATAGACAGATCATCACAGTTACACGAAGGTTTACGAATAACCAAAACTCCATTTGTTGGAGAAATATGACAGGATATTATCTGTGGTTGTAGGGAAGATTCACTGGATCCATAGGAGCTGAATGACTCTGTAATACCGTTAAGTGTATATTCATATTTGTTGGTTGTGGAAGAAGACGGACATTGTAATACTATGCCCCAGTCCATAGTAAACCCACCGGACCCACAACTTGAAAAAGTGATTAGTAAAAGTAACTGAGATGAAGATGAATCAGGCATATCAGTATTATCGGGTAATTTGAAATGCAGAGGATCAGTCCAATTTATCATGAATGATTTAGGCAAAATACCACGCACATCCAGTAAAACAGTTAAAGAGAATGGATCTTGTCGAAAACGAACTGGTGCTAAGCGTCTTTAAATTAAATTAATAAAAAAATAGATTAAGTCAAATATTCAAAAATTACATAATTATCTATGTCTATAAAAGATTTTTAGATAGTTTTGCAGATAAATATTTTTAACATTCTCTTCCATAGATACTATCCTTCTAGACAGCAAATTCGACGTAAAATCTTTAAAGTAAATTAAAAATATGTTGGGGATATTAGATCCGCAGAACTCACTTTGTAAATACCTTAATTTTGTAATCTTATTTTGAAATTTTGAATTCCTTTGTTTTCGCGCCAAAAGCGCTCTTTCCGCCTTCACTTCGTATTTCCCACTTGGGAGAATCTTTGAAGCTATTGGTCCGTTGTATATCTTAGTATGTTATTTTGTAACGCTTCCCAAGGATAGTTTTATACTGTATATATACGTCTGATGTGTGTCAGTTGTTATCGCTCGTGCTTCTGGATACTTGCGGAATATACTTCCCCATTCCAAACTTCGACTACTCTGTCTAGTTAGCGGGACCGGGACGCATCAGAATATGTGGCTTATTGGTCATTGGTTACAGAGTTTTTGTTCCGTTCGGAGACTAGGTGAACTCGTAATCGTTTTAAATATAGCAAAATGATAGTCGTAATAGTGTCATCATGAACAGTTTGCAAGCCAGAATACCTTATTCCAGTGACTCCTTTTTTAAACTGTTCTAGAAACAAAATCTAAACGTTACTTATCACTTCATTGATATCTTGAAAAGAATGATGCTTGCTGATATCTAGAAGTATAATGATTTATTATGACCATTAAATCTATGTAGTTAATCTAGTTAATTCAACAGTTTTTTCGCGCTTTAATTTTTTCTGCTAACGTAGCTCGTGTTAACGGTTTATAGATAGATGGTTTTAATTTTCTTGGTACAATGACGAATAAATTCAATAAATTTTAGCTCCCATAATCAGTTTTGGATAAATAGCATGCTATATTAACTAGAAATAGCATGTCACGTGTAGAAAGCAGCTGAGTAAGATTCGAGTAAATTGAATCTAACTAGTTTAGTGACTGTATGGAGAACACATCGGTGAGAATAATGGCAATCAACTTCAACACTACAATAAATGAAGGAACTTTCTTCTAGGAAAAAGTCTCACAAGTTTTAAGGACAGTTTAACAATAGCATAAGTCTATTGAGTAAACACGAGTACAAAGACTAATTTACTAAGACACTCTACTCTAAGCTTTAAGAAACCTGGATTTATTTGAAATGCTGAAAAAGACCATTAAACTGCTTTCGCTATTTTTATGCATCCCAAAAGTGACCTTATAACACTATAATCTAGTTGATAACACATAGAAACAGGTTGAACTGTTCAAGAGATCTGAGTGATGAAAAAATTGAGCTCAGTCACTGATTCATTAAAGAAAACAAACTGCGATTAAATAACACGGATAAAATAATAATCCAAAGTAGACTGAGTTTATGAGCTGACTGGAATTCCGATAGAGAAACAATTCACTGAAAGAAATAAGAAAATAATACCGATTCCAACAACTGGATTTCAGCACCGAATAAAGTTATGGGTGTGAGTAAAATTTATTGAGATAGCACCTAGGACACATTAATCAGAAACGCTTGAAGATTTAAATACAATACAAATCAGCAGTTTGTGCCTCTAAACATCATACCAGCTACTACCTTGATGAGGTGATCGGACCTGCTTATCGTAATGACCCAATCGAGCTATATTAGTTGAAACGCTCTTTCGTTTAGGTCCTAACATCCAAGGTTGGTTAGGGAACGGTAAGACTAAGAGCAACAACTTAGGGTTATAGGGCGAAGTTGTATTACTGATTGTACTGGAGTGTGACGCTAGAAAGATGTTTCGCCCGGACAATTAGCATCCGAAACGGAGCTGTTTTACCACAATCAAAGGTGTGGTTAGAAAAGTTTGACCCTCAAAATAGCACACCTCATCTTGCCAAAGGAATTTCTGTAGTCTGAATTGAGACCTTGAAAGTACGGAGCTACTAACAAAAACACCGCTTCTGACAGGTCCCAGGCTATTGTCCCCTGGGTTCTGTGGTCATGTTTTAAAGTGACCAAGACTACTATTGATCCGGTTTCCCTTTGATGTACCTCACGAATAAGTATCATTCTGCAGCTTAAAAATCACCCACAGGCCTTTAAAAACACTGGAGATCATTAAAAGTAAACAACCCTGCCAATCTAAAATTTCAAAGATGGAAGTCTAGTGCCTTAACTACCACATCATCTCATGTACATGCGAGTGAAGGTTGGATATACATAGTTTATCACGACCAAAGTCATATTCACTTAGATAATGAACAAAAGTAATCACATCCAAGCTAATAATAATCGTAAAAAAATACTTCTTAATACCACTCCAGAGATAGGATTCATTACCTATCTTTGGACAAAATCATTTCACAACTTGGAACCTGGTTTACTTTGATTTCAACGCCCGGGGAATTTGATGAACTGAAAACAGTAGATAATTGAGACGTTGAAATTTGGTTTTCGTTTTCTGTGTTCTTCTCAACTTCGCAAAACTTTTCATACGTATTTGTTAACTGCTTAGATTGCTTTTCTGTTTGCGTTACAGACTTATCAATGGCAACAACAGAAGATACGGGTAGATCAAAATTAGGACATTTTGAAACTGAAGATCCACCATCAGATGAAGTATCCATTGAGCTTTCTGTAACAATATTTGCTTTAGTTCGTTGTTTCCGACGTTTTCGACGTGCACGTTTTCGAGTTGCTGCATTTAATGTAACTGATTCATGATCAGAAGTGTTTGTTGTAGAACTGCATTCAACAGATTTCGTTTCGTTCTCTACAACTTTTTCATCATCACCATTTATACTACTGTCAGTAGGCTTACAAGTAGTTGATTCCACGTTTTTAACAATCGGTAGTGTAATACATAGAGTGTGAGTAGATTTATCAAATTTTGCTGTCCCTTCAGCATCTTTCACTTTATAAGGTAATTTCAGGTCAAGCAAATATGCAATTGGTTTTCGACTCTGCAAATTTATTTTAGAAAAATAAAAAGACTAGCTTAAAAAAGTGACATCACCAGAATATGTAAACTGTAAAATTAATGAATAGTACAAACTAAGTTATGAAGATAAAATCGAACGATCAGTTAAATTGTTAGGATGTGCAGAAAAATATGCCAATAATTATCATGTTAAGTCTAATGTTGTCCTTGGACGCTAAATGTACATTCCCTATTGGTCGATATTTACTTCACTTGTTTAATATTGTGTAAATGTTGTTTTCTATTTTTATGGTACGATGTGGTCTGCTTGGTTAGTATATAAATAGAATATGTCTGAAATACAATGATTCATATCTCAGAGGCTGTGACTTGCGTTCTGTACTCAACTGGCTGCAATAGACAAGGAAGCAGGGTCAATCAGGACACTAGGTCGTTCGTACGTATTTACGTGTCACTGTAACCGATCAATAAAACGCTGCTCCATCATAACATGTAGTCTCACACGTTACAACATAAATACAAGTTTTTATATTAGGCTGCAAATCAAACATTTTGTGTGCATATTTGAGTTAAATTAACTGAGTAATAAGATTCGAAAATATAACTTGATCAGAAACAGTCAATACTATGCTTTGAAATTAACAAGGGATAGGAACTGATTGATGATATGGACACTATTAGAACACGGAAGTTCCCTAAAAAAAGTTTACAAAATAATCCAGAGATAACAATGAAGTCCCTTAAAACAAACAGACATGAACGAAGATTATACCATCAGGACTATTTGTCGTTTGTTTCTACAACATAGGCTATCAATTGTCATTTATACTATCTTGAAATATGATAACTTTGATATATGGCTTGTTTTGCACAGTTTATATTTACTCCATCAGTCAGTCAGTCAGTAACAACGTAGAACTTAGTACGTACGTACATCAGTTCGAGTTGCCATACCACATTAGCACAGAGATGCAGTGGTCGATTCAAATCCCGTAGTGGTAGAGGTAGCAAGAGTATAAGCAGTAATCGGGAAGATTAGGGTTTGGAGATGTTATTTAACGAGTATAATCCAGTGAAATAAATTTGGAAAGAGGAAAAAAAGGGGCATGAAGAATTCAGATAATTAGAATTTGGGAGAACATAGAGAGTGGATGCACCTGCGCCATTGCAAACGATTTTGAGCCATGTCATTCAGGGTCTCTAACCATCGGTTGCTATCATCTCGCGGTCCCCAACCAGGTAGTCTACACCTACCAACATGACTCAGTCCACTTGTCAGTGACTTCATGGATTTGTGCCATGTTTTGGTCTGGCCGCCCCTAGCTTTCTTCCAACCTACTCCTATACCACTGAATATAGTACGTCGAGGTAGTCGGTCGTTCGGCATACGTAACACGTGTCCCAGCCATCTCAACTGATGAAGTTTCACTACTTCATCAATTGATTTGCCATCCTTACCTAGTACCCGTTTCCTAACAGCTGCGTTACTTACTCGGTGGTCCCAGGATATACGAGCAATACTTCGAAGACACCTATGATCAAATACTAGTAACCTACGAATATCCTCTACTCTTACCGGCCATGTTTCACAGCCATAAAGTAGGACGGAACGAACTGCTGCGCAGTAAACACGTCCTTTGGTTGGTAGACGGATATCTCGCCTACGCCATAAATGACGCAAGTTGGCAAAAGCTAGTCGAGCCTTCTGTATCCGTGGTGAGATTTCGTCACACTCCAGACCACAAGGGCTGATGAGACTTCCAAGATAAGTGAAGCGGTCGACACACTCAACTACTTCACTCCCTATCACTAGTTCGGGTGTCGATGTAACCCAATCCTGAAGCAACATTTTGCATTTCGAGGGAGAGAATCGCATCCCGAACATGCTTGCATTGTTGCTTAGAGTGGTCAGAAGACTCTGCATTTTGTCAGCGTCTTCACCAAATAAAACTATGTCATCTGCATATTCTAAGTCAACAAGTGAACCTCCCGGTAGAAGTTCAACCCCTGGAAATTTAGATGAGGAGAGTGTTATCTCTAAAAGTACGTCGACCACAAAGTTGAACAAGAATGGGGAGAGTGGACAGCCCTGACGAACACCACTTGAGGTAATCAATTCTGATGACAGTTCGCCATAAGCTCTCACTCTACCAGTTGTGTTCGAGTAGAGAGCCTTTATAAGGTTAATGTACTTCTTTGGTACTCCTTTCAGTGACAAACACTGCCATAGAACCTTACGATCAACAGAGTCGAATGCCGCCTTAAGGTCGAGAAATACTACCATTGTGGGGCGTCTAAATGTGTGTCTGTGTTGTAGAACCTGACGTAGTGTGAATATCTGATCTATACAACCACGTCCAGGTCGAAAACCAGCCTGATTTTCTCGAGTCTGCTCTTCACGAGCTTTGATTAGGCGTCGAAGTATTATTGAAGCTAATATTTTAGACACTACATTAGTCAAACTGATTCCTCTGTGATTGTCACAAGAGGACTTTTGTCCTTTCTTATAAACTGGCACAATCAGTGATTGAGACCAGTCAGATGGGATTACGTCCAGTTCCCAAATTCTACCTAAGACCTCGGTTAATCTCATTGCTAATACTGGACCACCATCCTTAAAAATCTCAGGAGTAAACCTGTCAGGGCCTGCTGCTCTCCCTCGTTTCAGATTTCCTATGGCTTTTTCAACTTCATAAAGAGACGGAGGACCTACATTAACTTGCCATTCAGGTTGACTGGAGATCGTGGGAAACCGAAGTGTGGCTGAAGGCCAGTTGAACTGATCCCTAAAGTGTTGTGCCCATCGATCCAATCTCCTGGATTGAGAATGAATAATATGTCCATCTTTCTCTGAGATTGTTTCGCTAACAGTCGGGTTCCTAATTCCGGTTTCCTTAACGAGTCTAAACAATTGTCTGCTATTACATATTGCCGTTGCCTTTTCCATCTCTCTTGCTTTCGCTACCCACCACTGTTCGCGATCATTGCGTAGACTTCTTGTTAGTTTGCGCTTAAGCTGACTCCGCTCTTCACTATGTTCAGAGCCAGGTGGAATGAGTTTCCGAGCATCTATCAGTGCGATAGATGCTGCTGAGATCCAGTGTTGCTCCCTAACCTTCTGGTTTACCTTACTAACAGATATCACTGCTGTTTCCACAGCTTTTCGGATATCATTCCATGCTGCCTTGGGGTGGGCAGCACATACATGGCTGCCTAACTGTTTTCCTAGTTGTTCCTGAAATATACTCTTAGCTTGACTATCATTAAGTAGGCCCCTAAGAGGTTTCCTTGCAGCGGTTTTCCTACGTCCAGTAAGACGCAGGCAAATACGCGCTCGTACTAGAGCATGATCTGAATCTAAGCATGTGCTCCAGAATGAGCGACAGTTTTCTATCGAGCCCCTGCATCGGTGGCTGATAGCGATGTGATCTATTTGGGTCCAACGTTGGGACGAATTAGGGGGTCTCCATGTTAAAAGATGTTTTTCCTTATGCTTAAAGTTAGTATTTGCAAGGAACAGGCGATTATCTGAGCATAGCTGCAACAGACGGTCGCCATTATCTGTTCTTTGAGCCACTATACTATAAGATCCACCCAGGTGTCTTTCCCTATCGCTTAGTTTACCTACTTGAGCATTAAAGTCACCGGCCACTATTACTACATCCGAGCGCTTAGCTTTTCGGAGAAGGTCCGAAAGCTTTCTGTAAAACTCATCTTTTACATCATCTGAGCTGCAGTCAGTGGGAGAATAGGCAGAGACGACGAAGAGGCAACGACGAGTGTCCCTATCTTTCCGGATTCTTACTGTTCCGTTCAGTCGGACAGCGCACAAACGACTGTCTACTGGGATCCAGTCTAAGAGAGCTAGTTCTGCCCTAGGACTCAATGCTATACCTACGCCGGCGAGGCCACGGGAAGCAGAATCAGGGCTTCCAGATACACGAAGCGTAAATCGAGTCGGTTCTTTATTTTGGCATGGTGAGGTCAAATGAATGATGCTACTTGGATCCTGTATGCGCGTTTCGGAGACGCAACACACATCGATGGCGCGAGATTCTAAAGTCCTAGCTAAGGAAGCCTGCTGTCCTATTTGGCACAGTGTTCGGACGTTAAAAGCTCCTACGTGTAGTTTAGAGCGTGGTTTGAGGAGACCAGGAATAGAGTTCCACGTACTCGAATCGTTTGCCCTAGCGGTGCGAGGTGATAAAGAGACGTGAGGAGGGTTAGTCATGGAGATAAGAGAGGTATTAGAAGGTGTAGGAAGGATTTGAATGTGACCAACTTGGTCTCGCGTGCTGTTACGGGTATGAGGGCTGATGTCACTTCCCGGCTGCCCACACCGTGGAAGGGTATTTCTTGAGGAACCTGAAAAGGAAATTGGATTAGTGTTGGTCTTAACGACCTGGGAGCGTGACCGCAGAGCCCAAGGGACAACTGCTTGAGGCCGGTCGCGCACGGCCTTTCCGTGGAAGGTTTTTGACGTGTTAGCTCCGTTCTTCAGATGGCCTTACCGCCGGAGACGGAAATCCGTGAGGTAAGGTGAGGTGTGACATTTTTAGGGTCGACCTTTTCTAACCCCACCCCTCCTTGTGGGAAGGCAGCATCGCTGTCATGCTGATTGTCCGAAGGAAACACCTTACTGCTGTCACACCTCTGTACAGTCAGCAGTACGACTTCGCCCTCAGACTTTGAGTTGCTGCTTTTAGTCTTACCGTTCACCAATCGACCTGCCTGGCATGGTAGAACCTACAGGAACATATGTTCCAGCCAATATAGCTCGGATGGGTCATCACGATAGGCAAGCCCGACCACCACGTCAAGGTAAAAGCTTCGGTCCATAAATTTTTAAAAATTGTGAAATTGATATATATTACAGTAAAAGAAATTACAAATACAAAAATATGAGATAATAACTTAGCATTCTTGAACGTCTAGGGCAATTCTGAAGAAAACATTTACGTAAGGAAAAACGATATTAATTCACTAAAATTACTAGACGTTAAATAAAGGAATGATAATATT